CCTCAACTGTTTATAATAAACAAAATGTTCAGGGTTGCCGCTAGCCCGGAATCTGGCATATGCTTCATTGCGCAATGTCATGAGAAGCTTAACATTGTCAGTTACCCATGGACAGTACTTTTTTCGCTTAGTAATAGTCCGTAAAGGCACATGAGTATCATAGAGATTTACCAGAGCGTTGTTAAAAAAAGAGAGTTTGTCATTAATATCCTCCAAACGTATTAATTAATACCAAGGTAAAGAAATAAGATCACGCACAAATACTTCATGATTAAAGTTCCGTAAATCCCTATAAGTAAAACCCTCAGGAGAACTACTAGACCCACTTTCAACATTAACCCGAACAAAAACCATACAGTGATCAGAGACAGTGTGAACAGGCATCACCCCAGAATCAGAAAAAGAAACATCATCATGAACAAGAATATGATCAATTAGTGTAGAAGTTACTTGAGTAGATCTAGTTGATTGCGTTATTATCTGTCTGAGCTGGAACTGCTGAATTGTAGGCAAAAAACGATTGCCATAAACGCCATCAATATCAAAACCATTAATATTAAAGTCACCCAGGCAAATAAACTGATTTGACTGAGGAACCAACACGGATAAAATATCTTCAAATTCAGACAAAAATTCACCAACAGAACCGCCCGGGCGATATAATGTTCCAACAATCAATGAAAAAGCATCGGCACGCACCTCAATCCATAAGCTTTCCAAGACCCCGGTAGCAGTCTCACACAAGATTTTGAAGTTATAAAAATTTTTCAACTAAATACCTACACCGCCCCCTACGCCACGAATACGACCACGAAAGGCGGAGTGATAACCGTCTATAAAATAATTTGAAATCTCGGTATCAGGGTAAATCCATAATTCAGAAAAGGTAAATAAATCAATATTCTCTCCCAAAATTAATTCTTTTACTGCCGCGAAATGTGCCGGTAAAGATCGAACATTTAAGTGAACTATTTTCATTTTAACTGAAAACTATAAGTGACAGTCTATAGACAAAACAAAATAAGACACAAAAAGACAAAAGAAACAGAAATAAAGGAAACAAAAAGAAGAAACAGCAGAAGCAAAAAAAGCGATCAACTGTCTGAGCAAACAAAGCGAAAGCTGTCCGCGCGCGTGCTACAAAACTAAATAATTGAACAGAAAATAAATGAAAAGAAAAAAAAAAAAATAATAGCAATAATAACAATAACAATATAAGCTTATAACCGAGAGATAAAAAAGGCAAAGGCGATAGGTAAGGTTTTGAATAACAACAAAAAAACAATCTAAGCCAAGCTTAACCTATCGGCATTAGAATGAGAAGGTATTTCTTCGAGGTTCCTGGCACATTTAATTAATATAACAGAGTTATTGCGATTTATAAAGACCCTACCGTCTCTAGTCCACGCATTTTTGTTACCAACGATCTCCCGCGCCCTCTTGAGTAATTGATATTTATCTCTCGTGAGGTCCTCTTGAATAACAAAGATTAATAATTATTGATTATTGATTATTAATAATTCTGCTGAATTTTAATAGAAATAATTGGGTTGATGCCTGCATAAAATTTAACTCAGATATATCATTATTTTCTGATGTTGCGAAACGCCATGAACTTGTGCTAAATCCATTTAAGTCTTCTGTTCTTCTGTTTTGCGGTAGTGTCACAAGGAGAGCGATTAAGCCTTTGATATCCGGTCAATTGGTGGTGGATAGCGAACCTCTTACTGTTTCTGATAATATAAAAATTTTAGGAGTCACATTGGATCATCAGTTGAGGTTTGAGGAGCATGTGGCCAGGTGCTTGAGGGGTGGGTATGGCGCCCTGCGTCTCTTGTATGCTCATAGGGATGTCTTAAGTAAAAAATTAAAAATTATGCTGTGTGATAGCTTGGTTCTAAGCAAATTAAATCACTGCGACGTTGTTTATGGTCCAAATTTAACGGAGGCGAGTGGGCGTCGTATCCAGAACCTCCAGAACGGTTGTCTGAGGTTTATTTACGGAATTCGTAAATATGACCATATTAGTCATAAGTTGGCAAAAACTGGGTGGTTGAACATGAAGAACAGACGTAAACTGCATGCAACTTCCGTTTATTATAAAATTATTAAAAGTCAGCGGCCTCCTTACTTGCTGCAACGCCTATCTTTCAGAAGCGATGTCCATAACATTAATATAAGGAGGCAAGATGTATTGACGGTACCACGCCGCGCCTCGCACCGATCCTTTTCCTACCAGATAGCTAAAAGGTACAATGATCTACCTATGAACCTTATAGGATTGAACTGTATTTCGTTCAAGAGTAAATTAAAATCCTCCCTCCTGCTTGAGTCATCATGATTTTTTTTTATTATATTCTGAGTTACTGATGTAGCGCTTTATACTGACATGTCGTCGTATTTTGTTTTTTTTTCATTTGTTTATTAGTATTGTTAACAACATTCTCATTTTTGCTTTATATATATATTTTCTATATATTCTGAATTAAGTGGAAGAGCAGTTGGTTAATAACCAAACTGAACTTCGTCCAGAAAATAAGTCTATTTTCTAAGAGTGTATTATTATTTTCTTTCCTTTTTTTTGCGAGTTATTAATAAAGGCATTATTATTATTATTATTATTATAATAACAACACTTAAAACTAATTCAGCTCCAAGTCATGATGGTATCAAGCCTAAAGTTGTTAAATGTTTGAAAGAGGTACACTCACCGATTCTATCTAGTCTTATTAATAGAACCAGGAGGGGAATTTCCCGGAAGAACTAAAGATTGTAAAGATAACACCGATATTCAAGAAGGGTCTGAAAGGAGAAGCAACCAATTATCGGCCCATATCAGTCATAACTGCTTTTGCCAAAATATACGAGCTAGTACTGAAAAATAGATTACTGCAATTTTTAAATCATATTGGTCTTATAGCGGAGAGTCAGCAATGTTTCCTAAAAAAAAGTACACAAAGTGCAATAACTTCAGTAATGAATAGTAACAGATGAATAGGAACAGTAATGAATGCAGTTTGTTTATGATAATGTGGATCTTGGACGAAAAGTTTTGGCTGTATTTTTGGACCTATGTAAGGCATTTGATGTGGTTGATCATGAGCTGCTGTTGAATCGTCTGAAGAGCATAGGGGCGATTGGACCGGCACCGGTTATCTTTACGAATTACTTGAAAAACCGATATCAATACAGGGTGTGTGGTGGGTATGCAAGCGGCAAAAAACTTGTTAAATATGGAGTGCCGCGGCTCTGTTCTAAGCCCTCTCCTATATGTAATTATCATCTAAAAACTATGAAATAACTTTCAAATTATTATAAATTGTATATTTATATAAGCAGGCAAAAAAAATTATATTGCTTCATTTCATTATTATTTTACTCACAGCGTGAATTACCCACATAATTATGAAAGGTGTCATAGGAATGTAAATGATATCTGTATCTGAGCTTATTATTAATTTGTTTTATTTAATAAGCTTAAATGATAACACAACAAACAATAAGGTAGCATTAAAAACGCTTTTGTTATCTTTGACAATAAAAATGGATTAGAACTTGAATTGAAAACAAATCACATTCTTAGAGCAAACCTTCATTGAAAACAATCGTTTTCTAGACAAATCGTTTTGTTAATAATTGTAAGTGAAAATTGAACCGTATACGATCGCCTGCAAATTGACTCGATATTGCACTTGCTGAATCAAAATGGGTTAATAGAAAGTGTTGTTGTTGTCGTCGCGGTTTAATGCATTACCCTCTGAAAATTAGTTTCGTTCCAACATTCCCAAATAGAATCTTCGGAATTGCAATTAAATAACACCTTATAAAAAAGTATGTAATTTAATTTTATTTTTATTTTCCACAAAAATTAATATTCAAATAGCAATATTTTCCGAAAAGGAAAATCTAATTATACTATTGGAATTTGCGGAAGCCTCTAATTTCGTAGCTAGGGTGGCGCATGCGAATCGAGCATGTATTGATTGCTGAAGGCTCGACTTCCGGGATGTTAGAAGACCGAAGTGATCTTGCGGTGATCCCAAGAAAAGAACGTGTTTGTTATATGCAAACAAGCATTACGAGTTCGCTGATGTTGTTTGAAATGCCATTCCAAAATGGCAATGAAAATAAATGAAAATGGAAGCAAAAAGGAAGTATTCAAATTCTAAGTTTAAGGTTAGTTTTAATTTCAAAATGAAATTTGTTATCTATTCTTGTTTTAAGGGGGTGTTTTATGGTTTTAATCGTTTTAACTATTATAACTTGAGTTTTATCTACTATGAAATACTGACGATGGACCATCAAACTTGGATTTTAGCACATCATTGAATTAAAAAGTTCATAAATTCTTTTGAATCGGATTAACCTATAGAATTCTTGGGAATATGGATTTAAAGTAAATGGTAAATGGATTTTGTTATTTGTTTACTTAAAAATTTTTGAGACTCATTTAAATGGTAAAATTTAGCAAAATTTTTTTTTACTATTTAAACATACGATCATTGTTGTCGTCTGTGGTGTTCTTCTCTGACGTGATATATAAAATTATGTGTTTAGGGGTTAAGTGAAGGAGTACTTCACGTAATTGTTTTCTTATTAAGAAGGACAGGAAACGTAGAGGCGAAGATGTGGCGGTGTATGTCGCGAAGGAATTGTTAGATTAGAGCGAGTTACTTAAAAGATTAAGTTTAGTGTTTGTATTGGGAGTTGTCTATTGCCTTTCTAATTTAAATTTTCAAGTCTTACTAAATAAATTGCTATACCTCTATAAAAATCTGTCACACACAAATTCACACGAAAATCTATCAATTATTATAAGTACGAAGGCTTTCACGGCCGGTGTTAATTAAACTAAAACTAGAACTAACACTAGCACTATCACTAGAACTAGAAACACTTCGAACTTGTTTCTGAAGAAGGTTGCAACATGGCATCCGAAACATCAAATACAGGGTGTCACACAAAAAACGCCCCAAGCTGTAACTCTGTTATTTACATTCCAATTTTCATGGCCTAGGTATCAAATGAAATGGTTTTATAAATACTATGATTCATGCTACAAATAATTTTTTTTCAACGCCATCTTGAATTTAAAGCGAATATCAACTTTTGATTTTCAAATTGCTCGGTATGTTTTTCTTCACGTTATTGGATAGAGTTTTTTTTCTGAATCCATGAATGTACAATACATCAACATTAATTATAACTGTAGTAGAGAAAAACATTAAAATAGTTTCCGAACATTTTCTTAAAGTCACTTGTGGTATACTGTAGTGTGCCATGGGAAAAAATAAAAAAAAACAACTTATAAGTATCATTTACAACTGCTTCGGGCATTGAAATAACATTTAATGACTGTTATCAGTTTTGCCCGTTATTTTTTTCTATGGCACACTAGAGACAATGTTCGGAAAATGTTTTAATTGTTTTTCTCTGCTAAAATTACAATTAATGTTAATCTATTGTATATCAATGGGTTCAGAAAAAAAATCTCTATCCAATAACGTGATGAAAAACATACCGAGCAATTTGAAAATCAAAAGTTGTTAATCGCTTGAAATTGAAGATGGCGTTGGAAAATGTTTATTTGTAGCATGAATCATAGTATTCATCAAACCATTTCATTTGATAGCTGGGTCATGAAAATTGGAAGGTAAATGACAGAGTTACAGCTTGCGGCGTTCTTGTATGGCAACCTCTATATACAGGTGTCTTTTCTCTGCTAAAATTATATTCAAAATGGATGTATTGTACATCAGTGGATTCAGAAAAACAATCTCTATCCAATGACGTAAAGAAAAATATATAGAGCAATTTGTAAAGCAAAAGTTAATAATCGCTTAAAATTGTAGATGGCCTTGGAAAAAATTTATGTCTAGCATGAATCATGGTATTCATGAAACCATTTCATTTGACCCCGCTCATGAAAATCGGAATGTAAATGACAGAGTTATAGCTTGGGGCGTTTTTTGTGTGACACCCTGTATTTTTTCAAAAAACGTCCGTTTTTTGAACCCAACCCAACCCAACCCAACCCAACCCGAAAGTTTCTAGTTCTAGGTCTAGTGTTAGTTCTAGTGATAGTGCTAGTGTTAATTCTAGTTTTAGTTTAACTATCAATTATTGTTTAAAATCGAGACCCAAATACGATCAAATCCCAAATAAATGGAATACCAGTAGCATAATTGCAATCCCTAAACCCGACTCAGAACATCATCTACCCAACAATTCTAGATCAATCATACTTCTTCCGGTCATAGGCAAAATCTTTAAAAGTATAATAAACCAACGATTATTCATTTACCTTAACTCTATTTCATTTTACCAGTTTGATTTCAAACCAAACAACTCCAGTATACATCCATTAATTATGCTACTTAACAACATCCAACGGTAACAAAAATTAATTAAGAAAACAATTGCTTTGTTCCTGAATATTAACAAAGCATTCGATACAGTTTGGCATATGGGATTATTATTCAACATAGAAACAATGGATATCAAAAGAAACTTAATTATTTTCAACTACGAATTTTTAAAAACAGAACGTTTCATGTAGCGATTGAGGACACATTTTCTTTCCGTTTCTTTTAACATCGAGGTACCCAAACTAGGCGTTCCTCAGGATTCCCCCTTTCTCCCACCTCATACAACTACGCATTCTACTGTTACGACATCTACGCAGAAGATCCAGATCAAACTTACAAACTCTATATAACCAAGCATTAAAATGGTTACATAAATAGAGACATACTCCCAATCCAGGAAAATGCTAAGTCATAGTTCCAAACTACTGCATTTGTATAAACATTTTTTCCAACAGTGAATACTGGCAACTTATGCATAAAACCATCTCCATCAGTTAAATACTTGGGAATAATTTTACATAATGGCCTAAAATTATCCAAGCATTACAAAACCAAAAGAGACAAATCAGAAGAGCCAAATACTTCCGAACACTCACCTACAAAAACGCCGTGATACACATCAATGTCTCAAAATCTCACTGACAATTAATTCGACATAAAAGACTAACGATTCATTGATAAAGCAGAAGGAGGTGCATAAGAATAATAACTAAAATCCGACACCCGAAAAATCTTGTGCACAATATCAGTAATGAAGACCTATATGCTATAACATAAATAAACCAATACGACTAAGGCACGAAGAACTAAAGAAGAAATTTATCAATACAAAATAGAACAGCTATTATTACTATGTATTATAATTTATATGTATTATGTACGCGAATGTTATACATACTAACGTTTGAAGGCCACGTTGATGGAGCTGTTGCTAAGACTTGGCGCATTCTTAGCTTCGTTATAAGAGTCACGCAAAATTTTACAAATATTTATGCCATAAGAACATTGTATTTTGCGTATGTGCATAGCGTTTTAAGCTTGTGCAGCTCCGTTTGGATTCCGCAATATCAAACATATATATCCAGAATTGAAAGGATTCAAAAGAAATTCCTAAAGTATTTATGTTTTAAAGGCAACATCGCTTACATTGATTACGTATCTGCTTGTGCCTCCTTCAACTTCTTATCGCTCCGTCAGCGTCGTTCATGTCGTGATGCTTTAACTTTCCATAAAATCATTAATGGTAATATTGATTCTTCTAGCCTATGACAAGCCTTCTGATGATGTTCAGTGAACGAAACCGGTAAAGACAAATAAATTAAACAAAATTCACCACAGTAAAAATCGTTTTTTGATACTTATCACGTTTGGTGAAAAAAAAAATGGATAATCATCTACAAAGTTTAATGTCAAATAGGTCTGAGTATTATTTTATTTTTTTTATGGACAAACTAACGATTTTAGGAGAAAATGTTAAGAGATAAAAAGTTGCGTATTGAGTTCCACTATTTAAAACAAGTTTTTAAATAGAAAAATATAGACGCATTAAAAAGTTCTGATGTATAGTATTATAGGGGTGGATTTTTTCAACCCCTTGTAATAACTAATGTAAAAAACTCTAGAAGTCCACAACGAGTAAAATTTATTTAATTTTTCAATCAGCACGACATATGTTTCGCTTATTAAGCCTTGTAATAACATTTTAGGATTATAAAAATCGTCAAAAAGTGTCATTTTATTAGTAATAGTTATCTGCCAAATTTCATTGGCAGATATTCATTTCATTGGTAGAGATTCCTCCATAGTGGATTTATTAAATAAAAACAATTTTTTTCCCTTAACTTTAAAGGGGTGTAACTCGGTGGGGAAGGGCTTTTGGAATAAGACTTTTATTGGTAGTGCTAAAGTGTGAACTGCAAGTATTCCTAATTGCTAAAATGGTTAAAATCGCAAGAATTATGAAAGAGAAGGTATAATATTGAAACATTTACAACCAAACCATAATAGGGACGAACATATATGCCCGGCAGTAATAATGGAGGAAAGATTAAGCGATGGATATATTCAGAGTAGATATTCCCATCTCATTCAAGTACGTTGTAATGTATATCAATTTAAAAAAATTAATCTGTACTCTTTGTCTTATGCGTTTTCAAGGTAGGAGTAGGAAAACCCGTGAGGAGATGGACGGCGGGGAAGAATACAGTAATTGAGGAGACGAAAATCAAACGACATTTCTAATATGAAGTATTGTCTTTTGCTTTTGAGTTTCAACAATAAAATGGGGTGGACAAAAGGGACTTAAACAGCGAAGGAAGAAGAATTAGTAGAGGGCACATGGAACGGAATAGATCTATAAATACATGTATAATATAAGTATATAATATAGCAGAGATGGCCAAGCTCTTTGATAGTCCGAGCCATTTTTCAATTTGAAATTTTTTGCAAGCCGCAATTAAATACGTATATATTAAAAGGGTACTTGGGTACATTTATCGAGAACCACAAATAATCCTGCAAAGAGCCGCATGTGGCTCGCGAGCCGCAGTTTGGCCACCGTCTTAATATAGTATAAGTTGGCGCACAAGAATTATCTTTTTTGAATTCTCGCCTTATTTTCAGAAAATGTCGTCTTGAGTTGTTGTAGTTTGTAACAATTTCGGATTAATTTATTTAGCGTATGGCATATAAGACACGCAATACGATAGTAGGTAAGTTACAAAAAATGAATAGAATGACAGTCATTAAAAAGTACAACCTACGTTTTGGTTGTTATTGGTAAATTTTACATCCAATTCGGCTAGCCATTAAAAGTTTTTGCAAAGTTTAGCATCAAAGAGTTAGGATCATGAAGAGTTAGGAGAGTTAAGTTCCTCACAGCGTTAGGATAAGATTCAATACGGCAGCACCCCACAATTTGCTGAATAGATTATTTTGGAGCTTCGCAGTCACATTGAGGCGATGGCAGCACTCTCCATTTGTTAACGCTATCACTACAGATTCCAAGTACCGTACATACTCTGTTGTGGTTCTTCCAAAGGTGGTGAGAAAGTCGAAATCCTTTTAATTTTTGGTGAGGAGGATCTGTTGGTTTATTCTTGGTGATGTTTTGGCGTTCCAGTCTTTTCCCTACTCAGAATTGATGTTATACTTGTTTTTAACCAGTTTCTCAGCAAGATTAATATAATGGAGGTTGTGGGGATCTATGGCGATTCACATAGAAATAAGGTGAACATTCTTTTTTCGAAGGTTTACTGAGGCAATATAGCAATTTTGGAAACTGTTTTTGTCGAAATTTACTTAAGTCTATTAGTCTATCAACCTCAAAATCCAGCGCGCTTCTGACCTTCGAACTTCATTGTATGTGCCGTGTTAAATGGCCACTTGCCCTTAAGATTGCTCTCCACGTACATGTGACATAGTCTGGTGCACGTGATGCAAAACTTGAACCGATTTTAACACAGGGTCTTGTACTCCCCACAAACCTTTGGTGATCCCAAAAGGATTCCTGGCATATTCTTATCAATGCTACGTTGGGTACGTGTATAATGTTTGCATAGGTTTGTGTTAAACTGTAATATTTTGCTGTGATATATTGGTGCATATTGGTGACAAGAGAAATAGCTGAAAATTGTTTTGAAGTTCGTAAGTCGACCGCTAAGCGGTGTAACTGTCATAGAGAAACATAAAATTTCCGCTATCTCAGAAAGTTAGATGATGGGCTATAAATTTGGCATTATTTGACAGCTTAGAAAGTACCGCATAGCTTTTGTTTCGTGACATATCTCATATTTATTATAATAAGGGAGGGGGAGGCCAATGCCTTTTTAAATGTTTACATTTTAATATCTCCTAGACCATTTGATAATTCTTCGTGATACACAATGATACACAACCTTTGTATGAAATAAATCATTTCATATCTGTATAATATAATAATATTAAATAACAAAAGATAAACAATTACAGTTAAGAAAAATTTATTTTCTAAACGCTTACACTAGTGCTGTTAAATGATTGTAAGCTGTAATCTGTGTAGTAAATAGAAAGGTTATTAAAAAACGAACCAACCATATAATAAAAGCAATGTTTCAACGCTTGCATACTATGTTTTGGAATGGAAATCTAATGTTTCTACGCATTGATGATTTCATATAGGTAAGATGGCCTGCAGTTAGTGATAATAAAAATTATTCGATAAGGAATATGAAGTCTACGTCTTTCTACCATATTTAACCAATTTTCATTGGCCCATTTATTACGACGCATACAATAAATAAATCTGAGACAAGATTCTTGAATCCTTGTTATTCTCTCCGCATTCTTCATCATCAAACAAGGCTCATAAATAAGATTATAAAGGAAAAGTAGTTTCAATAGTATTTTTTAAGTGTGTTTTATAATTCACTAGCATCTAACTGAAAGTTGTATGGAGAAGAAGCAATAACAAATTTATTAATTTCATTAGAATCCGAGAGATTACTATCAAGTCGTGTGATGTTTTTCGATTTAGTAATGTTATTTCTTAGAACTTCCATTTTTTTCAGCATTTGAGGGTTTGGACAAATTTTGATTAAAATAAGCATTTTTTCAGATCTGATACCATCTGTAGTAAAAATATGCAAAGTTCTGTAATATTCACCATGTACAGGATTTCCCGTGAGTAGTTATACAAGGAGAGTTCTGGAAAACTCTAGCGTTACGCTCAAGTCGTCCGCTAGATGGTGCCACCTGCGTCGAGAAGGGCACTAGCGCTAGTAGCTGCGGTTTAGGATTTACATCGGTTTCTTTCCCCGTATTAGTTACTTTGCTTTATTTTCAAATAATATTTATTATGTAATACCTTAGTTTTATACATTAGAATATACACATTATAACAGTTTTTTTTCTTTACCTTTTCTTATCTTATATAAAAAAATAATTTTAAAAAGTACCCTCTATGAGACGATTGCCAAAGTTTTAAAATGTCTTAATTTACCGATTCTAGGTAGATTCCTTTACACAATCTAATGAAGCTTAAGTTATTATTATTTATGCAAATTAAGTTAATTCATTTTAAAATTTAGGGTAGGCACACACGGTCGATTTTTAGTCGACCGATAGTTTAGTCGATGGACATAAATGTATTAAGTTTAATGTATTATCTTAATTAACGTGTATTAATTAACAATAACTCTTCTTCATAGAATGCCCCCAATATATCCTCACCTTTCAAGTCTTTAATCGTATACATCGTCGGGTTTGTGAGATGAATTTTACTAATTTTAAATATTTCTGTGCTCCAATTTGAGGTATAACCATAACAAAAACTGAAAAAAATTTTGACTAAAACTTTTTACTTGCGTTTATTTGAAAATATAAATCGGTACCGGTTTCGAAGTTACAACTTTATCTTCAGTCAAAATGTTGGATACCTCGATCGACGACTAATTGATAAGCAACAGTTTTCTTAGCTATAATCCTTTATGTCGTACTGTTGTGGTACCACCCGTTTACGTAGTAATGCTCACGTAGTATTTATGTTTATAATAATAAGAATATAATAAGTTTACAATATAATAATGTATCAAAAGTAATGATTCTGTAGTTAACCAACAACCACCAGAGACATGTGTGAATAATAAACATATCAGGGGACGGAAATAGATGGGAACAACCTCTAATTCTCCTTGTCTCTGTGTATATCCAGAAACAGATGGAAACATACTTAGTTATATGATATTTTCCGTAGGAAGCACAGTTGTAAAAACAGAGTTCACTAGGAACAGTCGTTATATAAGTCGAGTTCACTAAGAACAGTCGTTAAGTACACTTCACTAAGAGCAGTCGAAAAGTCAAGTCAGTGGTGTCTGTTAGACCGAGTCGATCAGTTAGTCTTAGAACAAATTGTTACCTGTCGTCATCGTCGTCTCTTAAATAAAATTATACTAAAATCAAGAACAGAAGAAGAGTTGTTTAATTTAATAAATTGCCCTTCACATCGAAGAAATAACTATATTATTAAATATCGACGTTACAACATTTAAGTAAGGATACACAACATCGATGAAGGCGGTACACAAAAGTACAATTTTTAATTTACAAACTTGGTACAATTTCGATGAACGTGAATATAGTATAATACGGACTTAGAATTAGGGATATAGAATAGTATTATGGAACTAGACTTAGTATTAGAATTAGAATGATCATAAGAATGCTACGGTCGAGGGTTATATAGGACAGCGGAGCCCTTGAATGCAACTTTTGGTGGGGCGAAGACGACGCCACGGGCGCCTGAGGGGCACAATGTGTCCTAAACTATGGGTCGTAAATTGGTCCCTTCTGAAAGCATCCCCTAATTAGGGGACCACCTTATCGGGTCTGTAACAAAGAAAATGTGGCTATAAAGCGCATTTTTAGAATACTAAATATCTAAAAATCTTAACTTATGTGGTCCTTAAAACTTATCTTAAAAATACTAAAAAACCTAACTTATAGAGTCCATTAAGTGTCTTTGTAACGAACACGACACGAAACTCACCTATTTCCCACGATCGCTTCAGAATATTATATCCTTTAACCGTATAATGCTCTGATCCGGAAGATACGGGACACCTGTATACCTAATCGAAATCAAAGAAATATGAAGATCTAAAAGTGGCACCAAATTAGCATTAAAATCCAATTTGCCATCAACACCAATGATGTAGTTGACCATAAAGTAACTCAACCGATGGACAACTTAAATCTTCTTTTATGGTCTTTACTAATTCGTCTTTCCAATGAGTTGTATTACCCGTAGCAATTACAACAGTTCCTAAAGTTCTATGAAATCTTTCGACAATACCATTGCTTTGAGGATGCTATGTTGAATTATGGATTTGAAACGAACCAAAAAATTTATTAAATTCTTTAAGTAATTAAGATTCAAATTGATTATGTTGAGTGAGGAATTCCAAAACGTAAGAACGGTTGTTTCAGCAATAGTTGATGTAGGTATTGATAAAAGAGGAACAGCTTCTTTAAATCTAGTAAATCTTTCAATTACTGTTATAATGTAAGTACAACCACCAGAAAGAAGAAGGTAACCTACAATGTCAACGTGGATATGTTCAAAACGGTCTTTAGGAATATCAATCTTCATAATTGAAGGTTTTGTATGTCTTTGGACTTTCGAAATTTAACATTTAATTTAATTTATATGAACCCATGAATATCTTGTACTGATTAATTTTTTAGAAGCTCTTATACCTAGAAGAGAAATACTATGTAAATCAGTGAAAATCGAATGACGAAATTTATCTAGAATGTACGTATAATTAATACGTTGATAAGAAGGGGAAGAAATTTCACACCAAATTGGAATATTAGAAAATGGAATTATTTGTTGTTTTAGACGAAATTTAGAATTAGGATTACAATTTTGAGCTTTAAGCAGGTTGAGTTGTTTATCTGTAGTTTGGGCTTGTTGCAAAATGCGAAGGTTCAGTTCAAATTATTCAAAAGAATCAATATTGTTGTCTAACCTTGACAGAGCATCAGCAACAATATCGTTTTCACCTTTAATGTAATATCTGTTGTCCAAGAACTTTTTTCTGTTTTAGAGGAAAAAGATAAGGTTAAAAGTTTATGGTCTGTGAAAATTCTAAACTGATCACCATCTAAGAAATGGCGAAAATGTTTAATAACTAAATAAATAGCTAAAAGTTCACGATCATAAGTTGAATATTTTAATTGACTAGGGGGGACGCTTATTTGAGAAAAATGCAATTAATTGTGAAATGTTATTGATTGATTGTTCTAACGTCGCTTCAATTGCATCGTTGGAAGCATCGGTGTAATAAATTCCAATGGAAAGGGGAATATTTGTGGCGTTATTTTATCAAGTTTTTTTAGATGATATGTTATATTTTTTCTGTTACTATGAAAACGATAAATAAAAAATAATCAAATGAAAACATATAACATATTGGACCGCGTTATGCATCACTTGACTAAGCGACAAATGAATAATGTTGACAAAAAGGAAATTTTCGTTTTCATCTCTCTAAAAATATAAGACTTCTCAGAATGGACAGGTTCAAGCTATCGAAAATTGTTTGATGTTGTTTCTGTAAGTCGTGGCATATATTTAACCACAAATACTAGAGTCAAAATGATGCTTCATGTAAAAATTTTTGAAGAAAATAATCTAGAGCAGTGTTTTTCAACCTGTGGGTCGCGACCCCTTGGGGGGCCGCGAAGCCTCTGTAGGGGGGTCGCGTGAACTCAGTAAAAAAATCAATAAATTCCAAGGAGGTAGATTAAAAAAAGTGAACAAAATGATACGTGTTATGTTGTTTATACAAACACATTAACAAAAAATAAAATCTTCGAGTACTCGTTCATTTTAATGTGAAGGTTGTGCTTGAGTTTGTTCAATCAATTTCTCCCATCGTGAATCCGTTTTTGCAACTTTAAGTATTAAATCGTTTTCCAAATTTAAACGATTTCTTAGTTTACTTTTTATTTGGGCCATTGATGAAAATGCCAACTCGCACAAGTACGAGGTAGAAAATGGAATCAAACACTTCAAAGCCTCGGTCGTTAATTCCGGGTATTCTGTTTTTCTTTTTAACCAAAAGGTATCAAAATTTTCAGACTTGAACTTCAAGTGTAACATCCCATCGGCAGATAATTCCAGCAGATTCTTAAGCTTAGTTGCTAAATTTGCCTCATTTATAGCTGCATTTAACAACGGATTTAAGATCCATCTTTGCCCAGTATTAATCGATATCTCTTGCACTGAGAAGTAATGACACAACTCTTTCTGCAAATTATCTAACACCATTTTCATACCAGATATATATGAGTTAATGTTTATCTCGCTTCCGACTTCTTCAATGAAAGTCTGTGTCGACGAAAATGAATCAAAGTTGTTTTGATTTATAGATGATGACCACAATTCAATTTTTTTTATAAAGCCATGGAGTTTATCTTTTGCTGTAATGACATTTTCATCCCGCCCTTGAAGACTTTTATTCAAGTTGTTTAAATGCTCAAATAAGTCGGAAAGAAAAGCCAATTTCAAAAGGAATTCCGGGTCAGAAATGAATTCAGAGTAATGTGACTTGGCTTGTTGTAAATATACTAATAGTTCAGCGCGAAGTTCCATAACTCTGGTCAGTACTTTGCCTTTTGATAACCACCTAACCTCTGTGTGGTAAAGCAAATTGCAATGTAGTGCCCCCATATCTTCACAAATGATTCGAAACAATCGAGTCTACAACGCTTTTCCTTTGATAGAATTTACAATGTTAATAATAATATTTAGAACTTGACTGTATTCTTGTGGCAAGGTTTTGGCTGCAAGAGCTTGGCGATGGAGAAAGCAGTGCATCCAACAAGCGTTTGACATTTGTTCTTTCAGTCTAACAATAAATCCACTCTTCGCACCAGTCATGACTTTTGCTCCGTCACTACAAATAGCAATGCATTTTTGTGCCCAATCGATATTCATATCTTGCGTAGCTTCAACGAACATGTCATGCAAGAACTGACCTGTAGCATTTTTGGGAAGTGCCTTGCAAAATAGTATTTCTTCCATTAATATTTCATTGGATTCAAAACGCACAAAAGCTACAAACTGCACACAACCCGTAATATCCGTTGATTCATCAAATTGTAAGGACACAAAAGAACTTTTCTTTATTTTTTCTATGACTTGATCACGAACGTCAGTCACCATATTGCTTATCCTGCGTTGAATGGTGTTGTCAGAGAGAGGTATACTTTTGAGCTTTTCGACCTCTTGTTTGCCAAACATAATCTCTGCTATATCTAAAGCCGCTGGTAAAATCAAATTTTCGGCAATACTGTGAGGTTTTCCTGCTTTAGCCACACGAAAAGTTACTCGATAACTAGCGAGCAACGCTTTCTCATTTAGGTTGGACATTTGTCCTATAGCAGTTTTTTGATGTTCAAGAGCTTTTAGTTTTCGTTCAAAAAATTCCACGGGTTTATTTTTTTCATTAGGATGTTTTGTGTTTAGGTAGCGTAGCAACTTCGATGGTCTCTTGACAAAATTTCAAAGCAAATTACGCACTACGGTTTATTCTCAATCACAGTAAACCCAAATTTCAAATAATTGTCGTCATAAATAACGACAATTATTAAATTTAATTATCGTAAATTTTTGTATGGATTAAATATTTTTAACATATATGAAAAAAAGGGTCGGGGAGTCGCGAAATATTTTTTGTTACTGATCTAGAGCTTGGTTTTGTACTTTTAAACTGGTTTTTATTTGATATAGAATTTAAGTCTAACTAATTTCGGCCCTTGTCAATCTTCAGAGACTCTACAAATAGATTAACAACTCTCATCTTATCCATTTTACAAACAAGTTTATCATGTTACTTTTTCGTTTGTTAAAAAAGATCACATATCACAGTCGAAATCAGATTATTAGTTACTAATTTACAAAATTAAAGTTTAAAAAGTTGTAAAATGAAATTAAGGACGAAGTGTTACAAGTTTACAGGTTAAAATTTAATTTAACACAAGAAATATTAAGAAACTAGGGAAAAATTCAAGAATCATCATGTGACTTAACAATCGACAATTTTTTTTTAATCAACATGAAATGACAAAAAAAAAACGTTAAAAATAAAAAGAAAGTGCGGAAAAGTTGTTAGTCACTTAAAGTGCTAGATTAACTACAGTTATAAAAATTCTATTATATGATAACAAACTTCAGGTTTAAAATGACAACCTCAATTTTGACATATTTATAATCTTCATTAAAAATCCTTTAAAATGAGTACAAACATGATACGTTTAATTCCAATATTACTCGAGGTATAAGAACTTCCGGTTTGAAATGTCAATGTCATTTTGACATATTCTTAATTTTTATAAAATATCTTAATATTTGTCACAAAAACAAAAATATAGTAAAAAAAAAATAGTAGTATAAAATTAAGGTTGGTATTAATATTTAAAACTTGAATTGCTACCTTCATTGTTGCTAACTTTGGATTTAATGTTTTTTATTCTAACTTTTTTGTTTTTTGAGATAAGTGCGTCATCTTTGAACTCACTTTAAAGGTTTTTTAATGAAGATGACAGATATGTCAAAATTGACGTTGACGTTTCAAACCGGAAGTGATTGTATCTCCATTAATATTAAAGTTAAATATGTCGAATTTGAACTCATTTTAAAGGAGTTTTTATGTAGTTAACAAATATGTCAAAATTAAAAGTTCGAACTTTTTGGTTTTATGAGATAAATGCGTCAAGTTTGGACTCACTTTAAAGGTTATTTTATGAAGATTACGAATATAATAATAAAATTAAGGTTGACATTGACTACTGAAAGTTTTTTTCACGACTAAACCCGAATGCTTCTAGTTCTCGTTCTAGTTTTAGAACCAATAAGAATATATAACATAGTAATATTTGATGCTAACTAACGTTACCACTGCCACTAGAACTAACACTAGACCGAGAACTAGAAACATTCGGATTTAGTCCCACGTCTCTCAAGACGGCTAAACCTGAATAATTCTAGTTCTAGGTCTTGCTGTTAGTTCTAGTGATAGTACTAGTGTAAAACTAGCACTATACGCTAGTCTTCAGACGCACGGCTACACCCGAATATTTCTAGTTCTAGGTCTAGTGTTGGTTCCAGTTTTAGTGCAATAAAAATATGCAACATAGTGATATCTTATGATAACTAGCGCTATCTACCGCTGTCGTTTGTAGAATGAGAGATGTTAATCTATTTCTAGAGTCTCTGAAGATGGCCAAGGACCGAAACTAGTTAGACTTAAATTCTATATAAAATAAAAGACAAACTTTTAATTTTATACTAACATCTAGAAAACGACACCGATTCAAAATTGTAGGTTCATCTATTTTTTCTATTGTAGAATTTCTTGGTGTCGTATCTAAGTCGGTTCTTAGACCTACAATGCAAATCAGACTTGAAATCGTATGACGTGTTGTCGCTTAGCTTTATTCTTTAAAACAAATGGTATTTTAGGTCTTTCGGTATTCTCCATTTTTTCTAAGATAAGTTACACCTTTACCTACCAGACAGCAAGTAAATCTGTAATAACGATAATAAAATGTCGCTTAGTCAAGTGATGTATAATGCGGTCCAATTGGTGTTCTTCATAATAACATGATGTAATTATCTATAAATAAATATCTATAGACTCTACCACCCAAGGAGGCACGAAGCAAGAGGCTGATGACAAAAAATATAATTGTTTATCAAGAGATAATCCAAATCCACACTTGTACCCAACCACGTTTCCGTTACAGGTAAAACGTGTTTACAATCTGCAGTAATTCTAGTCAATACATTATTATTATTAAAAGAATTTTAATGAGGTTGAAAAAAATTACCATCGGGTAATAAAATATGCTATTAAGTAGAAAATTTTTATTTAATTTTTTATAACAATGTAAAAACTAAAGAAATCTATACTTCTTTATATCATCTTAAACTAATGATATATATAACATATTACTCCGTTAAATAGAGCGGTAGAATTTAAATTAATTTACTATGCACAATGGTAAACGTACATATACAATGGTAATGATATTTTAATAATAATTAAATGATACTAAACTTCATTTGTGTTTAAACTTAAACATTTTTTCATTAAAACAAATAAAACTGTTCATATATTTCAAAAATAAAAATAGTCCATTAAACTACTTACATAAATAGAAATCACAAAATAGGAACTCTCAAAACAATATTATTTAACTGACAAAATTAATATTACACTCTATGATAATGATAAATATGTTCGTATCTGTGGGCAATCCAATCCTTTTTCTGAAAAAAATGCATCAATTAATTTATTGTTAATTTTTTTTATATGAGCCATTTATTACACAACTCGATTAACTCCACTTTTTGAAAATTTTACCCCTCTATCAATTTTCACTTCATGTTCGGGAACATCTGGACCGACTATTCGGACAAAGATGAATAGGCCGAGGTGGTTCAATCGCATGGTCTCCACGATTATCGGATTTGACTCCATTGAACTTTTTCTCTAGGGGTATATGAAGAGTTTGGTTTATGGCACGAGTTGTGGTCAGTGCAAGACACCAGGTGTGATGGAGCCAGTTTACTAGAACATCATTCGTAAGTACAATGCGTGCAACGAAGTGCGTTTGTAAAATAAAGGATATAGTCAATATTGGCTACATATGAAAATGCAGCTAATGTTTGTGAATGTCATTGTTCACTTCTTATGGCTTTTTGCAGATATACAAATGATGAAGAACTCTAAAGAACAAGTTGGTCTTTGATTGATTAGCTCGGAGATCATGCTGCCAGTAATAAAAAAGATGACACAATAAAAAAACAATGTACATAATTTCATCGCGTTTCCCGACTTTTCGTTTTACGGAATTAATCGATTTGCGCAGTGAACGACTCATATAAAACTCTTAAAATATTATATAAAAGCTAATTAATACTGAATTACTGCATAAAAAATAAAATATCTTACAACTCACCTCACAATTAAATGAACAATACATCTTTTTTTTGCAGGAACATTTATAGAACGCCCTCATATTGCAAGTACTACATAACAATAATGGCGCAGTGTTCAAAGTATTCTTCAGGTTGTCCATCTGTAAATGAGCACAGTTGCAAATTAATTGTAATCCTACAAGGGCAAGGAGGTGAATTAAGCAGAACACAGAGCCAGAGAATCACAGTTTCTGCGAATTGCTACATACATACATTTCAAAATACACGAGGAACAAATGGTAATAAAAACCAATAAAAAGAAATGAGACGATTAGGAATCTTTACAAGTCAAGATTGGAAAATAATATAAGCAATTCCACGATAGAAGACACAGAGGGTAGTTGGAGAAAGGTTATGGATGTGCAATAGGTAAAACATCAACAAGAACGAAAGAAGCACCTTCCGTTGATGATTTCACCTGTTAAATAATAAAACATCAAATGGAAATGATGAGAAAATCAGGAAAATAGAAATGAAATAGAAAGATTTAAAATATAGATTGCTGGAACAGTTTTATGTATAGTTTCTAGGCAAACTTTGCGCAAATGCAGTTAACACACTCGTTCAGGCAATAATCTAAATGTACTAAATAAAACCTTCTGCTGAACATTATGATGGTGAGTCTGAGCAATTAGATATCACGCATTTCGGTGATTTCCGACAGACTTTCTGTAAAAATTCTAAATGGTTCAGTTGAAGCAACTCTTGTTCCCAATCGAATTGTAGAAGAGGATAAAGAATTAATTTCGAAGAGCGATGAAGATCAGCTAAAAATGGGAACAACAGAAATCTAACAGATACTTGGAAAAGAGGAGACCTGGGCTCAGAACAGTTTGGAAAAAGTAAACGCGTTTGCAGAATATCTTGAACACAATTCCATCCTAATGAATTGCCGAATCTCCACCCCAGTGACAACCTTGATTGGATCCTACTAGTTGTTGCCTTTATTGCCACAAGGATGTTGTTGTGGAAATTAGAAACCAAGGAAAACGGCCGAAGTCACAATGATTCCAAAATGTAACAAGAACCTAAGCGAACTGGAATTATGTCGACCCAAAGTTGGTTGAGAAAATTTAGTTTTAGAAGTAATCATACAACTTATTTCTTCCTGTTCATCCAGTCTTGTATCTGACTTACGTTTATGATTTTCCAACAACCTGACATAACACAAAGTGGTTCAGTGAACAACACCATAACATCACAATGTTTACTTCTCTAACATTATAAATAGAAACGTTTCATTTTATTTGTGAAATGAAACCGAAGATGTAGAAATGAAGAATGAAACGATTATGGCTGTAGCTATCAAAATCAAATACGGCATGGCCAATGCTTTATTAACTTTAGCAATAAGCTATAATGTAACTATAGAACAAAAATTTTTGGTA